ACCCCAAGAACAAGAAATAACAACAGTAATCAATATCATCATGGCGGGTGGCGGTGGCAGCGGCGGCGGTAGGACCAGCCTGGGGCCGGTCCAAAGGCCTTGGGGGGCCGTATCCGGCCCCCGGGCCTTAGGTTGCCTACCCCTGCCCTAAGTGGTTTACACAGTATAAGCCAATTGCCCCCAACAAAGCCGAGCACTCATTCTAGCAACCTAGTAGCAATCATGCTTTCCTTCTCTGGAATAAAGTCTTGCTCCATTTTATTCCAAGCACAGAGTCACTTTGCAATTCTTTAGTGGGGTTTAGGAAAGAATGGCTATTTTGAAGGTACAGAGTTATGAATGGCTGGCGGGAGAGGCTTTGGACTTTTAAACCTTGTGTATTGTGCAGGGAGGCAGAAGGACGTGGAGATGGGAGCCATGGCTTCCTCATATCGATAACTCCTGGCTGTTGTCGATCCTTTACTAAAAACGCTGACTGTTCCTAAGCACTGGAGTTACGTAATTCTGTTTTAAGCATCCTGCGTCACACAACAATATGAAAGCATGTGGCCATATTCCTATCAATGTTCCCCTAGCCGACGGCTATCTCTGGAGGCTAATAACTTTGAAGCAGGAATAAACAAGAGTACATTCAAAGGTCTGAAACAAATTCAAGAGATGAGAGGAATGAGGGGAACAAAATAGGAAAGGCTCGCTGCTGACTCCAATTTGCTTGCAAAATGATCCCATCGATCAAATGTATTAATCTTCTCATTCAGACAAACTCTCTTTCTCTCTCGTTCCTACCATTTCCCGTTCTGGACATTTCCAGTTCTGGACAGCCTTGAAGATGACATAAATATAATGAATTTGACAAGAGCTTATTTATGTATTTTAATTAGTCCCCAACAATCCGTATGACTAAGGTTCTTTAAGCGACAAACGTCACAAATGAAATCTTTGAAATCCAGAGTTTGGGAAGGGGGGTGAATTTTGCAGTTTTATCAAATTTACCAAAAAGTATGCATTAAACCTTGTAATTCTGAAGACTAGGCTTCAAATCCCAGCTTGACCATGTAAGCCCACTAGGTGACCTTGGGCAAGTGCCATTCTCTCAGCTTCAGAGGATGTCAATGGCAAACCCACTCTGAAGAAACTTGCCAAGAAAACCCCATGATAGGTTTGCATGGAAACAACTCAAAGGCACATAACAACAACAACAAATATTTCTCATGCTTTTCATCACCACTATTTGTTTAAACTCCATAATTTATTTTCCATTTCATTGGCAGCTGTTTGCATTCTGTTGTTGTTGTTGTTTTTACTGCCATGCAATGCAGGGTATTTCAAACTATTTATTGTCAACATGTATTGGGGGAAGGAGGAGAATAACAGTGGAAAGGCAGGACATAAACATTTTTGGATGCAATAAATAGGTGAGATAGCCCTTACACAAACTGCAATGCATCTAGACAAAGGGTGTTAACACAACCAAGTGCTGGTTTAGAGAGAGAAAGAATACAAACGGAAAGGTTGCAACCTCTTGGTCTTTCCAATGGCTGGTGGAGTTTGTCTGTGTGAATCGGGACAAGCAACATCAAAATCTGGGATTGCATCAGATGTGCCGCCTTTTGTTAAGATGGCTGCTGTCAGCAGGTAGCTTTGGACCTGCCGCTTCCAATTTAAAATTACTCTCTGCTCAATTGCAAATGTAATTTGCAGTCCGCACAACTGGCAAGAAGCCCATTGTCACCATGGGAGCTTGGAGAAAGCTTGGCCCAAGGAAATCGCTTCACTGGATGCGTGAAGTACAATGCACTGCTGCATACCGTCCAACATTTCACAATTTGGAAAAAGCATGGCCAAGCCACATCAGTGTGCGGTCAAGATGGCAAAAGTGATGAGTGAAGAATTCAAGTCCGGAGAGTCTGCAGCAGTTTGCTTTTGCCTGAGCTTACTGGGAACGACAAGACTTCACTGCTCCTTTTCTCCCCTCTGACCCCGGAGCTAAACTGAGTATAAACTACTTTTGCACCTTGAACTCAGTTTGTAGCAATTAAAGTAAAATGAGGAGAATCTGCTCTGATGTTTCACTGGAATTTTAAAAACTACTCAAGGTGCT